GGAGGAGAAATTATGCTTCAGCTCCAGAAAGCAACAATGCACTGCTTTCTCACACTTCCTCAAATCTCAAACAACTTACCATTAATTTCTCAGTTGCCCATCCCAATAGAGTTTAGGTAACATTTAGTCAATATTCAGTACTCTCAAACCTTAAGGCTTGTCCTTCATGCTCAGCATAGCTGTTCCCCAGCGGTAACCCGTACCGATAGGCCTCCACGCTCTCCACTGGTTCGGACTTTGTGGTGATTGGCTCATGCTGGTAGAGCAATGCCGACTTGATCATCCCAAAATCTTCCTGAATCTTCATCCCTGAATAGATAGTGCCTGAGACATTTTCAGCCACATGCGTATAGCTCTGAAGGTTTTTCATGTCGCAAAGGTTGTCGCTGTATTTCAGCACGGATGGCTTGTAGGCCTGGTAGGACACTTTTGTGGTGGTTGTGATGACAGTCTGTAGTGGTGGGGCCATGGGAGAGGGGCTGGGACCGTATTTGCCGGAGTACTCTCCACCATAATAAGGGTGGTTAGTGTTTGTTTGCATCTGACCATAGTCGCTCCTGTCTCCACTGCCAGTTTTCCCCCAGATTGGTTTCAGTCCATAATGCCTAGCAGTATGGTCAAAGCTCTTGTCAATGCTGGCCAAGGAATTATAGTGAGATCCATTCAAACTGATAGGGTCGGCATCGAGGGGAGGATTTGCTGGATCTTTATAACATGATGGGTAAGGGCTGGAGCTAATGAAGGGAGGAACTCCAAACTCATAACTACATGGCCTGGGCACATAGATCCTTGGATTGGGGCACTTCTGATATGGCAACAGCTGGTCCTCTTGGAAGTTGGCTGAGTCATAAGACATCTTGTAGAGGTCGGTATTTTGCGGCAAAGGGTAAGACTGAGCTGGAATTGAAAAACTGGTGTCTGTGACGATGCTGACTCTTTCTGGGACATCTATGGAGGGCAGATTTTGTGTGTTACTGGCATAACCACTGCTATCATGATATCTTCCAGCCTGGAAAGGACAAGAGCTTTAAGATTCAGAAGTGGATTCAGCCTACAGTGACACTTCGACTTGGAATACCAATCATTTCAGTCCCAAATAAACAAAATTTCAGTCCCAAATGAACAAATGTAGCATGGTATAAAACTTTGTGTTCTCCTGAACTTTCCAGTACGTACTTCTGACAACTTTTTAACTGACTCAAAACCTTGACTTACCTCTGAGTTTAGAAGTCTCTTTTTCTGGGAATTCTGAGAAGACAACATATGCTTCTTAATTGCACTTCGTCTTGCCTCTGCCTCCAATTTACTCTCTGGTCTGGGGTGGTCATGGACTCCTTTAGCCTAAATAAGGATGATCAAAGAATGATATGTGAATTGCAAGTGGGTAAGAGAAAAAAAATGCAGTAATAAAATGAGTGGTATCCATGACATAACCGACAGTCTTGCACAAGAGAGCTCAGAGGAGAAACTAAAGAACAAGGAAGGATTACATTTAAAAATAAATTAATAAAACTCAGTTGTGACTTGCAGGTAGAGAAAAGGAAGAACTAGGGAGGAGAAGCCAGCGATTACTGCAGAGCTGTGAGACAGAATGATGAAGGAGCAAAGGCTCTACCCATGTCTAGGACATTCAAAAGTATCTGATCCGAGCCAAAGGGGTGGTGGTGAGAAAGTATTATAATTTGAGTTTAATTGGTTTTCTGCACTCAGTTCTGCTTGATAACATCCGCCACTAAAATGACAACAATAGGCTTTAAAGAGGTTTCTCTCTACTTTAAAACAATGACCACCTTCTTGAAGGAGACTGAGATACACACCTTCAAAAGCCATTGAAAAATGATCTGCTATTGAAACATCTGTGAATACACAGACCTACGTATCCAGAGCTATATTCACCTATGATAAAACAATGTATGACACATGCAGTTACCCATTACACTTTTCTAAGTGGACCTTCACGTAGTCCCTAACACAAACTAGGAAACTTAAAACTGCTTTTGAAATGCCATTGTTTCTCAGATAGGTGTTAACTTCTAAGTGAGAAAGTATCAGCAATTTCGATAAAGATCTTTTCAGTCTTTGCATCTGTACAACAGCATATCTCATTAACAGGAATGATAAATAACAGGTGAGAATTTGGAAACGTCATCAGTTTGCTTCCATTTACTGACTGGAAGAATAGAGTTCACTGGAGTCTGGGTCAGGGAAAAAAAACAACACCACATTCAGCAGAGAATGTCATCCCAAAGCAGAAACCCTTTTCTGAAGTTTTTTTCCTCACATGGCTTAACAAGAAAAAACAAGAAATCAATATGAAGTTTCAAAACAATTTTCTAAATATTGTTTTTTTTTTTTTTCCAGCAAGTTTTAAAATCCTTTAAAAAATGTTATTTTCCATGTCAAATGTATTTTGTAGATTTGATCTTAATTAATTTAAGTGAGACTTTCCTCATTTTTTAATCTTAGTAGAAAATAAATCCTATGTCCTCATTGAGATTCAGTCATCAGACACATGCCGAGGTGTAGGACAAACCCTTTGTTCCCATTTGTGTAATGTCATCAGAAGAACTTTAGACGTCTATAATGGTGTTATAACAAAGATGGAAAATGTTAACATCCAAGTACTGCTTTTTAAAAATACAGCCAAGTGTTACAGTTTTATTTGTTGTGCCCATGTTTATAATACACAGGAATCCATGCACAGACTAGAACTCCACTATGCTGTGTCTGTGCACTTATATGTATATATAATTTGAAATGTGTGCTTTTTACCTGGAAAAATATTGCTTTGCCATCCAGTCTCCAGAAATTGGTGACGGGGTAGCCACTGTGCCCACGGCAAGGGATGAGCTGGAGAGCTGCATTGCAGTTTGGGCAGGCTTTTTCTGCAAGTACAGATAGAGAAAACTCTGGTTTGGCGGGAAGGCAGAGTACAAAGACAGTGAGTCCTTCACTGAAATTCACACTGAGGTATGATACTGAAGTAAACAAGCTGCAGAGTACCAAACATAACTGAATGGTAAGGACTAGAGCTGTATACTTAACAAGTGCTAGTGATTGAGAGCATCGTAGGCCCATTTGTCCTTAGTTATTTACAGGCAGACATTGACAACACTGGGAACTAAATATATCCCTCGCACTCCTCACAACACACACAAACACATGCAATTTGTGCAAAGCAGATTTTCAAGAAGGCGAGGCTGATCTCTGTTCAGAAATCAGGCCCAGCTGAGGGAATTAGGTCCCCTTCATTCCCCCTCACTTTGCTGCTTTTGCCGCGCCTTGTCGCAGATGGCGGGCCGCAGCTGCAGCCTGGCACCGCCGGGCAGGGCACAGCTCCCTGCACACACCACCACCCCCAGGCAGGACTTTTTCAGGATCTGGCAGTTGTGGTTGTTGGTGTTGCGCATGGCCCAGCCGCTCAGGTGCCGCTGCGCGTTCTTCTCCTCGCTGGAGTAGATGAGGCGCACGTAGCCGTCCGGCCATTCCTGGAAGGCATCGAAGCGCTCGGGCTCCTGTGACGGGGAGAGCAAAGGAGCATGAGCAGAAGGGGAGAATTCTGAGTTCTGCTCTGTGGTGACAGTGACAGGACCCGAGGGAACGGCATGGAGCTGCATCAGGAGAGGGTCAGGTTGGGGGTTAGGAAAAGGTCCTTCACCAGAGGGGTGGTGGGCATGGAGCAGGCTCCTCAGGGCAGCGGGCACAGCCCCAAGTGCTGGAGTTCAGGGAGTGTATGGGCAGCGTTCTCAGACATGGGGTTGGATTTGGGTAGTCCTGTGTGGAACTGGGAGTTGGACTTCAGGATCCTCCTGTGTCCCTTCCAGCTCAGCCTGTTTTATGATGGTGCCACCTTGGGGTTTTGTCCCAAGGCTTCTTTCTGTGACCTCTCAAGCAGCAAATTTGGAAACAGCGGAAAAGTGCTTTTTAAAGAATAGCTTATTCAGAAAGAGCCTGTAACAAGTGAGAGGCAGCCTGAGCTTCCATGCCTCAAGAGTAAGGAGCCGTTCTCTTTTTGCGTGACTTCTTCTCATAAGGAGTGGTGAGGCAATGGCACAGGCTGCCCAGGGAAATGGTGGAGTCATTGTCCCTGGAGGTGCTCAAGAATCGTGTGGATGTGGCACCAAGGGACCCATCACTGGGATGGGTTGGTGATTGGACTAGATGAGCTTAATTGGTTTTCCAACCATAATGATACTATGATGACCAGTAATAAGAGGATCTCATCATCAGTGCCCCTGCAAAATGAGGTTTGCCCAGCTGTTGGAGGTTGCCTCATTACCAGCACTCCCTGGCTGCCCACCACCTGTGTGCTCATTGTGGAGCTGTGCACCTGAAGACTGAAAGCTTCAAGTTTTAGTTGGACAGTAGTTGCTTGAAGTGCATCTATAGCAAGTTGAACAAGGAAGGAGAAGAACAAACAAAACCCCCCAAAACAACCCACAAACACATATATTCCACTATGTAAGTAGTGGTTCAGCGAAAGAATGCTCCCATTTGGGATGTCACCAGCTTGCTGGCATTCCTTATCAAAATGTAGTTGCTGTAAAAATTAAGTAACGCCTAATATTTTAAACTCCAAACACAGCTTAAATAACAATTTCCTGCAGCATTCCTTTAACATGCATATACAGCACATGTGAGTGATCCCAGGGAATTCAGGTGTTTGCAGAATTAACCCATTCTGTAACTGCATGTTATGTGTATAATTAGACTCATGATGAGAAATACGTGGGTTGAAAACATATTAGGAACTTACAAACAGAAGGAAAAAAACAATCTGAATACTCATTTCCAAACACATTCAATCAGATGTGAGCACATAAGTACAATATCCAGATGGCTTGGATGATATCAGCAGAAAACAGTCAACCTTAGATTCTTTGGACACACTTAACAGGGGAAAGACAGAGAAAGAAGGTTGCTTTAGGAGCTCGCACACAGCTGGCTAAGACTGTGTATTAAAGCTGTACGTCCCACCCGCAGCCATGCCCCGGTACCTGCGGCAGCTTGGGGTCGTTGATATCCCAGGTGAGCTTCATGCTGGGGGCAGCAGCGGGCGGCGGATCCCGCTTTTATCGCCTCGGGGCGGCCCGCATCTCCCGCCCGGCCCCCGGGGGCGGCCCTGGGGGTGCTGGGCTCCCCGTCGGGTATAGGGGGAGGGCTGCAGCCCCCCGATATCGCTATAGCGGCGCGGGGCTGCTTGGAGCGGCCCTGGGGGCTGGTTTTGCTGCGGATTGGGAACTCACCCTCTAAGAGAGAGAGCCATCGTAGGCTGCAGTTTATTAGGAATTACACACACTGAATTTTTAGGGTTGAAAAACAGTCGATGTGTCTTCTGTTTAAAAAAAAAAAAAAAGGGGG